GCCTGCGTGCTGCCGTGATCTGTGTGGAAGCCACGAGAAAACGTGCGCTCTCAGCTGCAGCGCCTCTGCAGAAAAACTCAGGCTGGATCACACCTTACGAGGCACAGTTTAAGAACACCAAAACGGGCCCTAGGCCCTTCGGGTGAGGAACACTAACGTGCCTCTTTCCAGGGAAACTGCCTGTTTGGGTGCCCGTCACGGGTGGGCTTTCGCCCGGATGTGAGAAGGCAGCAGAATGGGGTTGTGGGGGCTGGATGAGCCTTTGCTTGGCTCTTCAAGAAGGATTTCTAACCTTACAGGGCTGGCTCCGGTGAGGACCCAGGTAACGCTGCTCCCCTCCTCTCCTCCCCTCCCTCACCATCCTCTCCTGGGACGTGCGCCTTCCAGGACTCCTGCGGTCCCTGCTGGAAGCACCAGCAGAGAGGGACCATCTTCCAGGGCACGGTGGGAACATGGTGAACTTACCCTGAAGGGTCTTTCCCTTAACTCTGGGGCAGGGCTTCTGCTAGAGGCTCTTTTGAAATGAGGAGTTCAATGGAGACACAAAAATACAAAACTATGAATCTTTTCTGAGACTCTGTAATAGAAGTTAAATAGAAGTTACAGAAACTTACTTCTAACAGCAGGTATGAAAAAATGGAGATTTTACTGCTGTCATGCAACTGGATTTCATAGCTGTAAGCCAATAGCTGTGACGAAGGAATTATTAAAGTGTTAAATATTTCATTTAAAAGGGAACATTGCAGTCACTTTACAAAGAAAACTCAGAACCTGTCTGTTGAAAGCCCTCATCTGTGAGAAGGCCAGGTTTCCCGCAGCCTCGCGCGGGCAGCCCCAAGCCTGCTCCCACCATGGCAGGAGCAGAAAGGCCCGGCCACAGGCCCTCCCTCCGCAGCCTGGGGTGAGCCACACCTGCTGGCCAGGTCTGGGTGGGTGGCAGGGCTCAGGGACCGGAGGACGCGTCCACACGAGTTCTGGATCTCAAAGTCCATCCTCGCTTTCTGCAGGTCTGCTTTTCTTGAACTCATTATAAAAAGCAGCTTTTGGCAAACTAGGGTAGAAAGAATTTCTTGTTCTAACTGAGTCGGCTGCTGACCTCTACAGCTTCTCCAGGAGGCTTACCAAATAAAGAAGCGAAACATTTTCATAAACAAACACTAAGAAATCAGGGAGTGTTCAAAGTTTAACTGATATTTCACTATAAAAGAAAAAGGTAAGAATGTATTTCAAAAATAATAGCTTCATTAAGTATTTCTTGAGGAAAAATGAATGGGAAATAAATACAAAGCTGACCCTCGCGAGAGGCTTATGGGGGAAAGCGACCTCCCTGAAAAGCCGCGCTGCGTGACAAGATGCGAGGTCTCGGTCACGGAGTAGCCAGCAAATGGATTTTGTTGATACTTTAAAGAACATCAGAAAAGCAAACCAAAAAAGCCAAAAAACCCAAAACCAAGACAACTTTGATTAATTTTATTTTAGGAAATGAGCTAAAACAAGACTCGAATGAGAAATCAGAATACACTTCATTGGACAGCTCAGCTCTCCCCCTCATCCCTTCAACAGGACCATGAGGCTTCCTTCCAGAGCTGCGGGGCCTCCCACTGGGAAATCCTACCTGTCCTGACCTCACAATGAGGCAGCCCCGGGGACCTCCAGACACCTGGTCGGAAAAGGCAGCTTCACTGTCCCTTGGCAGACATGCCCCGACGGCCGCCTAGTTACCCACCTGTCTTTCTGTCTTTGGAAATTCCCCAAGGTAAGAAGTTGAACCATCTGACATTTTTAGTATTTGATTAAGTTTTAACCTCAAAAATAGCAATTTCATATGGTTCAACATAATGCATATTTTTGTGGTTAGCTTTAAAAAAAAAATCACGAACAGCACGTTCATTGCAGAGAGAAATCCTGGAAAGGCGAGGTGGTCCCGCGAAGAGGCGGTGTGCAGGAGAGAGGGTCTTTGTGTGGCAGGACAGGCCTGGGGATGGGGTGAGAGCTTGGTACTGTGCAGCCAGAATTTTGACAAGCTGGGGCTACAGAAAGAAAGGGTCAATGTGTTGGAAACTCAAGGTTGAGCTCAAATACAATCCCATTTTACAGAACAGGTTGAAACAGATAAACCTGGTCTAAATCTCAGAAGTGAGAATATGGTAAAAAATGATATGCAAAAGCATGTTAAACATATACAAAAATTAAAATGCACAGAAAAGGGAACTGGCCAAGGAAACATTCACTCCACGTTACAATGGACCTGTTCCTCTCAGTCTGCAAAGCAACTTGATTTCTATGACTCTACAGCTTCCACAGGGCTCTGAGATGTTGGAGGACTTTTCCCCTAAAGACCTACCCCCTCACTGTTGATTTCACTGGTGTTATGAGATACAAACTGGACAGAGAGCAAACCAAACTCGTCCGGACAGAAAGGAGCATATCCACATCTGGGAGAACCAATTAACTCCCTGTTAGCGACCATCCACCACCCACCTCCCCTTCTTCCAACAGTAAAGTCTGCACACCTGGCCCCCGCCCAGAAGTCAATGATTGAGCTAGATGTTAAAGGCCTGGCTTGCACATGCCGTGGTGGGGAATCGCAGCCCCCACCCCAACCACTAACCATTGCAGGCAGACCTGGCGCAGGGGACTCCAGCCCCCACCCCAGAGAGAAGACCCCAGAGCTCAGCACCCTGGCCCTGCAGCCAACCTGAGTTCCCGGAACACCAAGAGAGAAGGATGTGAGAGGCTGTCACACTCCCATCCCAAAACTTTGCTGGAGTGGACCTCATTCCAGCTGGAGGTACCCACCGCAGTGAAGGGCTTTCCAAGAGGGGCGGGGCTATGGGGTAGCCAGACAGCCTTTCCTAGTATCCTGGTGGCTACCTTGAGGTCTTCCTAGTCACCAAGACCTATCGTGACCTGCCAGCCCAGGAAGCAGCCTGGCCTGGTGTGGGCTGAAAGTCAGGGAGGCAGGGGTAAGCATAGCCAATCCCAACTCTGTTTAAGCAGTAGGGGCTTGACCGAGGAGACCCAGGTGTGCGTCTGTCCTCGGGTCTAGGAGCAGCAAACACTACCATGGGCAGAAGTAAGGGCGGAGAGGCTCATCGGGGCTCAGTGCTTGCAGGGGTGGTTTAGAGACTGTCTGATTACTCCGAGCGACACCCTCCTTGCTGGCCGCCCCTGTCCCGGAGCACCTGTCACAGCGGCAGAGGCCTCCTCCTGCGGTTCTTCCTGGCCTGCCTGCACGCACATCGCTCTCTGGAGCCTGGTAAGATCAGGCCAGCAGGGTCTAGCTCTATAGCCAGGACCACCATATGACCTGGAGAAAACTCATGATTTTCAGGCAACTTTTGCCTTTAAGTTATTCATGAAGTTACACAACAAACCTTAGGTGATTTTCAGGAGTTTGCAGGCTCATTCTCCCAGCCTCTATCCGATTACGCAGAAACCTCCTGGCCTGTTTCTATCGGGGAACTTTTCTGTTCTGAGCGCCTATGCTGCAGCTCAGGTTTAAGGAGGAAAAAGCCTACTGGGCGTTCTGCAGCCTTGCTCCTCCTGGCAGGCGAACCCCCAAACGGAGATCGTATAGAGAAGAGTTCCCCACTCTAAGATCCTCAAGCCCAACTTTAATAAACAAAACCAATCTCTGACTTCCTTGCGCACACAGCAACAGCCTGCTGTGCCCGGCCTGTCACGTGCACAGGAAGCAGGTCCCCCACACTGTCTGCTTGGCTCACTGGCTTGCAGTGCTGGGGAGAGGTGGGTCCCTAGCAGGCAGCGGCCCAGAAGGCTTTGGCAGTGCCTTTGTCCTGGCAGTGACCCACTGGTGGGCACAGATGACGAGAGGCTTCTTAGATGTCTGTGGCTCCATGTAAAGGCCCACCCACTCTAGCCTCCCACTCGCTCATCCCAGAGACCCCCACTGAACCCTTCTGGAGACAGTTCTATATGATTCAGAGTACAGCACAGTGCCTGGTTCATCACAGCTGTATGGTTTCAGTTCATCATGCACAAAACATGCTCATGGCTTCATCTGTTTGCCTGTCTGACCTCGTTAGGGAACTCAGGTATTAGCTCAACCTTCAGGGGTTTCTCTACCTGCTTCCCCTGAAAACTTTCCTCTGTTTTCAAGTTCGTTTTGTGCTGAGCAGCACAGCAGCAATTAGAATACCATTAAACGTACCCAGCAAAGACCATTTGAAATTCACAATTGCTTTAAATTCACCACATCTAAAACCTCAAGGTAATTTTCCCCTTTAAGGATATATATGGGTATAACTGCATATAGACATCATCTATGAACATACATTCATTTATACAAAAACGATTATGAAAATATCACTATGCAAAATAAATTTCTGGTATGTGTCTACAATGATTTCAGTTGCTGTAATTAATTTATGCATTGAGCAGAGTCAAACAAAAGCTTTAAAAGAAATACCTGGGAAATGTTTTTAGGTTATCACAAGCCGTAAGCAGGCTACATACAGGTAAGTTCTCAAGCCATCTCTTAAAAAAGAATATATCTAATTGTGCTTTGAGAAATTAAAAGTAAAACTCATCCAAGGGGATCCAAGGCTGCTACCTGCTTTGATGTAAGTGTCACCAACTGAGTGCATGGAGGTGGCTGAGTGTCCACGCACAAGTCTCATTTTCTGTGCTGTTGGCAAGCAGATACTCTTAGCTCACAGTAACCTTATTGAAAAATTTACTGCCATTCAGATGTGTGCCTATTTAAACCTTTCAGCCAGTGAGAGTCAAGAGTCGATCTGCATGCATCATTTTTATGGCCTTGCCAAGAATTATGCAACCCCGTGCCAAAACTAACACCGCGCTGAAGCGGGTGGAGGCGGCGAAGCCCGGTGCCTCCGCCTCGGCCACATGCTGTCTCTGCTCAGCTGATGTAAAAATACCGAGCTGGTACACTCAATAAAGTGAGCTGTGATGTCAGTGACTGTTAAGAAGTCAAGCTCCCCAAAGGACACATCGCGGATGGCTTAGTCACCGACCTTGCTGGAATACGGGGTGGTGAAGAGCCGGCACGGGGAGCTCCTCGATGGCCTCGGGCTGCTGGAAGTAGGCGTTCAGCCAGGCTGCGCACTGCTTCAGGGGCTCGGGACCGCTGGGAACGTCAGCAGGGGCTGGGGCCTCCACGGCACTGCAAAAGTGAGAACAGGGGCTCAGTAAACCTCCGGGCCCTGCCTCCACACGTCGCAAAAGCAAACGCCTACTGCCTCTAAACGGTCAAGCACCCGTGGCTGCTTCACGGGCACGCGTGTCTCAACCATCCGCGCTGCAGAAAGGAGGACTGGTGAGAAGGGGACGCGCCGAGGCCCTGAACCCCCGCTCGACCTTCGGCCTCCAGGACGTGCGCTCTGAGAGCCTGCGTCACAGCTTAAGGCAGCCCGAGTGACAGCGTCCCTTTGTAAGACTCACAGACGGCACGGCTGCACCTAAATATCAAGCACTATCGAAAAGATTTTCCGGAACCATCAACTGTTCTAAGACTGCACCACAGCCCACCCCAGCCCAGCACCGAAAGGCCATATCCACACGTCCTGCCTCCTCCATGGCTGCGCTGTGTTCAGAGGATTCCTCAGGGCTCGCTTTCCGTCCCGATTCCCACGCTCCCGAGGGTCTAGCCTGTGTTTCCTTTGCTGGTGAGTCTGTCCTTTCAGGCACAGCCCTGTGCCTCACATGCCTGAGTTTACTCAGTTCTTTCTCAAATCTTCCTGGTGGCATTTTTTTTTTTTTTTTTTTAGACAGAGTTTTGCTCTTGTTGGCCAGGCTGGAGTGCAATGGCATGATCTTTGCTCACTGCAACCTCCATCTCCTGGGTTCAAGCGATTCTCCTGCCTCAGCCTACCAAGTAGCTGGGATTACAGGCATGTGCCACCATGCCTGGCTAACTTTGTATTTTTAGTAGAGATGGGGTTTCACCACATTAGCCAGGCTGGTCTTGAACTCCTGACCTCAGGTGATCTACCCGCCTTGGCCTCCCACAGTGCTAGGATGATGGGGGTGAGGCTGTGGCCCTCCTGGCTCTTTCTGGCTGCTCTCCTCCTTTCTGTCTCCTGCAGTTTGAACCTGTGCCTCTTGGAGTCACTTCAGACTGTTATGTAGCTGCTTCTGCTTGGGGTGCTCATTCTTCTGTGGCTTCCATCTGGTGGCCCCTCATGGAAAGGATTCATCATCTCCAGGAGGGGTGGATTTTCTGGGGTCCTGTTCCAGGGATGGAGGACGTAGCCCTGACAGGGAGGCTTGCCCCCGCCACCTGGGCTGAGGAGTGCAGGACACATCCCAGTGTTATTTCCTGTGCTGTGGACCCCTACTGTGAAGCCCTGGTGCTGGGTCTGATTTCTCCAGACGACTCTCCTCTTTCCCTGACTCTCAAGGTCCCAGACACATGGCAGGCTTCCCTGGGACTTCCCAGGCTTGGAGGGCGGAATTTTTCTAGTTTCCTTTCACAGACAATGCTGCTCCTCAGGCTTCTGTGAAAAGGTGGAACAAGTCCCTGCACTCCACAGCTCCCGCAGGCCCTTCACCCACCTTCTTGGGCTCCCTTGGAGGACTGCACTGCGATCTACAGAATGCCTCTCCTTGACACACATATGCTGCCCCAGGACGGTCCAAATAAAGACTGCATTTGCCTGCAAGTGCAGCCCTGCACAGGAGGTGATGTAGCCAGAGCACCATCCCAGACTGTGTCCACACAAGGCATGGGTGGCCGGTGGGGCAGGTCCATGGAAAGGACGCAACAGAGCCATCCTGGGTGTAGAACAAACAGTGTGAACACAGACAGTGTGAACATGGATGTAGAGTGAACACAGACAGTGTGAACATGGATGCAGAGTGAATACAGAGTGTGAACATGGATGCAGAGTGAACACAGTGTGAACATGGATGCAGAGTGAACACAGTATGAACACGGATGCAGTGTGAAGACAGTGTGAACACAGAGTGAACACAGACGCAGAGTGAACACAGATGGTGTGAACATGGATGCAATGTGAACATAGTATGAACATGGATGCAGTGTGAACACAGTATGAACACGGATGTAGTGTGAAGACAGTGTGAACACAGGTGCAAAGTAAAAAGATGCAGTGTGAACACATGCAGTGTGAACACAGATGCAGAGTGAACACAATGTGAACACAGATGCAGAGTGAACACAGTGTGAACACAGATGCAGTGTGAACACAGTGTGAACACAGATGCAGAATGAACACAGTGTGAACACAGATGCAGAGTGAACACAGTGTGAACACAGATGCAGTGTGAACACAGATGCAGAGTGAACACAATGTGAACACAGATGCAGAGTTAACACAGTGTGAACACAGATGCAGAGTGAACACAGAGTGTGAACATGGATGCAGAGTGAACACAGTGTGAACATGGATGCAGAGTGAACACAGTATGAACACGGATGCAGTGTGAAGACTGTGAAGACAGTGTGAACACAGAGTGAACACAGACGCAGAGTGAACACAGATGGTGTGAACATGGATGCAATGTGAACACAGTATGAACATGGATGCAGTGTGAACACAGTATGAACACAGATGTAGTGTGAAGACAGTGTGAACACAGGCGCAAAGTGAAAAGATGCAGTGTGGAAACATGCAGTGTGAACACAGATGCAGAGTGAACACAATGTGAACACAGATGCAGAGTGAACACAGTGTGAACACAGATGCAGAGTGAACACATGTGTGAACACAGATGCAGAGTGAAGACATGCAGTGTAAACACAGATGCAGAGTGAACACAATGTGAACACAGATGCAGAGTGAACACAATGTGAACACAGATGCAGAGTGAACACATGCAGTGTGAACACAGATGCAGAGTGAACACATGCAGTGTAAACACAGATGCAGAGTGAACACAATGTGAACACAGATGCAGAGTGAACACAATGTGAACACAGATGCAGAATGAATACATGCAGTGTTAACACAATGTGAACACAGATGCAGAGTGAACAATGTGAACACAGATGCAGAGTGAACACAGTGTGAACACAGATGCAGAGTGAACACATGTAGTGTGAACACAGATGCAGAGTGAACATATGCAGAGTGAACACAGATACAGTGTGAACACAGATGCAGTGTGAACACAGATGCAGAGTGAACACATGTAGTGTGAACACAGATGCAGAGTGAACACATGTAGTGTGAACACAGATGCAGAGTGAAGGCCTGGGGAACCGAGACTCACAGGAAGGTGGGCAAGGGCTGCGCATGTCAGAACGGGAAGGGCCACTTCGTCCCATAGTGTGACTGGTGGGAGTGGGGGCCCCTGGCCAAAAGCCAGAAGGCACCACAGCTGCCCCCAAGCAAGGCTGCAGCAGTAAGAACATGGCCATGGTATGGGGAAGATCTGGGGGTGAACCACGAAGCTGGGGTCCAGGATGACTCTTGGTTCCAACCCCAGCCCTGTGCAGATGGGGCTGTCACCCTGACCCCGTGTAGGTTCGGCCTTGTGAGGATGGAGACCTGTCAGCCTAGCCCCGTGTGGATGGGCCTGTTGTCATCGCTGGTGTCCAGGAGGACCACAGCCCCAGCGCCACAAAGTCCAGCATTTCTCTTTGTATTGGAGTTGGAGGCTGTTTTAGGAAAGGTGGTCACGACTTCAAACACCTTCACATAAACAGCTCAAATCACCTCCGGAGCGATTAGTTCTCACTTTTCCTGTGAGGTACAAACCAAGCTTGCACAGATGTGAATAAAGTCACAAGTACATAATGAGGCAAGAGATAAAAGGAAGCTGAACGCCTTCCTGATAGTTAAAAAGGTTTACTCTCTTACACAGCGGAAGCGGAAATAAAAGATAACTACCACTTACATGTCTAGTTAAACACACACAGCCTTTTGCGTACTGGGTTTGTGTTAAAGATGTACAAATTACTTCGGCTTAAAGTGTCCCACGGGCGGAAATACCCTGGCACTTCCACTCCGAAAAGAAAGCAGCGCCGCGGCGGGAGGAACCCTTTCTGCCTTCTACCCGCGATACTCACATTTTAACAAGAGACCACAACGGCGAAGCTGGGTACAGTTCTGGAGCTTCCGCCTGAGTCAATGCCTGTGGTGGCATTTCCATTTCCCCAGAACAAAGCAGACATGCCCAGGGGCACACACGGTCGTGGGCCTGTGCCTGCGACATCTACAGTGCGTGGTGACAAGCCCAGGGGGCAGCGGCGGGCCGCTACGGGGATGCTAAGGAGAACTACACCCGGGCTGTTACTCTCGCGAGCCGCTGTGCCTGCCTCCCATCGCTGGGGGGAAGCTGGGGACAGACCCAGTGCAGGGTGTGTCCAGGGTCACTTCGCTTTGAGGTCCTGCAGGTGCCGAAATGTGCACGTCATCTGACAGCAGTTGGCCATGGAAGACCTCGGGCCAGGTCTCACACACTGTCCTGTGCTGGAGGCTGGGTCTCTGGGCTGGAGCATTTTGTGGGTGTAAAAGTCTCTACCGAGATCCTCAGCTCTTTCTAAAAATAGAGCTCTTTGGGTGAGAGGCACCCAGGGCCCCGTGCCCTGATTTTCACGATGGAGCAGGAAGGTGGTCGGAGGTTTCCAAGCACAGGAATACTAACGGCTTTAAGGAAGGAGCCAGAGATTGAAGGGAGAAAGAAGGAAGCTCACCAGGATGACCGGCAGCCATGGACAACTGAGCCCAGCCGGGCCAGCAAAGTCGGCTGATTCGTGGACACTGCGCCCAGAAACAACAGGCCCTCGCTTTCTTCAAGCTGCCACCCCAGCCAGATCCCTGCCCGAGGGAACTCACGCAGACAGGGCCCTCGTTCAGCCCAGTGCCCTGAATACACAGGCTGAGGTCCCGTAGCCCAAGTCCCTGCCTGGAAACCCTGCGGGCCCCGTCAGGGATGCCTGGGGGAAGCTGGGCTCTCTCCGCAGGCAGAGAACGGGCCTGCTGAGCAGGACAAGAAGATGGCCTCTCGCAGAGTTTCCTTGGGGGATGGAAGTGCTATCTTCTCACTGCCCCCATTTGAGGTCTGACCATGGAAGGAACTTCTGCGTGGCTGGAGTATTATGCAATTCCAGAGACACACCTCTATCCTTGCTCTGCTACTTGCTAACCAAATAAACAGTGTACTGGTGATACTGAAGAAGAAAGATGGAGAAATACG